TTATTCCAGAATGTGAAAAAGCACGTTGGGTGAAAACATGTGTCACCCCAATGGGAACATTGCCGGAGCCGCGGCTGGGGCAGTGGCCAGTGTCTCAGGCAGGCAGGGACTCAGGAGGGAGGCGCTGCCGGGATCGGCTCCTTCCCAGGCTGCCCGGCTGTGTCTGGCCTCCCCTCTTTCCCTCCATTCTCTGGAGGGAAAGTCCGGGTGTTCATTTCCAGAATCTCGGGTGCTGTTCTCGCAAAGAACCCCGGTGGCCTTCTCTGTTCAGGTCCTGCCCCGATGGTGATCCGTGGTCGGCTATGGGCAGCCACCCTCTGGGAATTTAAAAGGCAGCAAAAGAGAAGAGCCCGGAGGACTCACTTCCCGGAGTCTGTGCCTCGAGGGTGGCGTGAGACAAGGACGGCTCTCCCAGGGCAGTGGCAAATCCCAGGGAGGGGACGGGGCGGTGCGGGGTGCCCGGTTCTGCCTGGCATCTGCCTTCCCTGCCCTGCACAACCCCACCCCATGAGGTGGGCCACCAGCAGCGGCGGGGACGGGCCGCGGGGGCTTCTGAGGCTTGGGGTGACTGTGCTCGCTCAGGACGCTGCACGTCGGGTGAGCGCCAGTGCGTCTGCTAGACACGGCGCGCAGGGAAGTGATGTTGTAAGAAACAAGCCTTGTGCCTCATAGTTTTCTTTTTGTGAAAATAAGACAAAGAAAAGTCAGGTTTAATTCATCCAGACTGCGGACTGTGACTGTCCTGCAGGTGTTGAGGGACCCCTCCGGCTCACCTGAACACCTGGGATGTGCCTGCATTCCTGTATTTGCCACAACAAGCAGGCGGCACGTCAAGGAGCAGTGATCCTCTTACAGAAACGCGGCCTGTTAGTTTATCAGACCATCACGCTTATTAACCGCTGTTAATTCTGTGTCAGCTGTGGCCTGTCAGACCCATCAGGCAGAGGGATGGCGCTGGAAGGAAGGGACCTGTGTTGCCCGTCACCGCCCCAACGGAGGGAAGCTGGAAGGAAGCTGCGTGGGGCGAGGGGCCGGCTGCGCGTGGTGGTGATGGTCACATGGCCGAGGCCACAGAGCATCTTCAGCGGAGCGGAGAGACAAAGATCGGACGAGGGGCGTTTCTGGTGGAGACTTTGCCATGTTTGGGGCCATTTTTTTTTAAGATTATTTATTTATTCATTCATTCATTCATTCATTCATTCATTCAGAGAGAGCGAAGAGAGAGGCAGAGACACAGGCAGAGGGAGAAGCAGGCTCCATGCAGGAAGCCCGATGTGGGACTCGATCCTGGGTCTCCAGGATCACACCCCGGGCTGCAGGCGGTGCTAAACCGCTGTGCCACCGGGGTTGTTTGGGGCTGTTTTTAGTCGCGTTTATGAAAAATATCCAAAGACAAATGCTTTTCCAACTGCCCAGCCCAGATGCTGTTCCTGGGATCGTGTGACCACCAGGAGACAGAGGTGTCAGGAACAGGGGCAGGTGGCAGGCATGAGCCAAGGTGAGGGGGGCCCAACGGCACCCGGAGGGGGGTGCAGGGCTGGAGGCTCTGCTCGGAGGGCCTGCCACCTCAGCGCCCAGCGTCCTTCCAGGGGGACAGGATGACCTACTGGGTCTGATTTGCTTCAGTTGCTTGGGTTCTTACCGTCTTTCTGTACGTTCATTCTCTTTGCTGCAATTCAGCGTGGCGATCCAGGCTGAGCGAGGGACTGGGTCTGCCCCCTGGACGATGCTGGCTCGCCCCCCATGCGGGGTCTACAGAGGACTGAGGGGGGTGAGTGGGCCCCTGGGGCTCGCATCCCTCTCCGGCCTCAGCCCATCTGTGCAGAGGTGGGTCAGCAAGAGCTCCGGCTGGCACTCCTGCCGGGGTCCTTGGAGCTGCCCTGGGTTTCCCATAATGGGACCCCCCACGCCACCCAGCAGGCACAAACCCAAACTGAATGCCATGACTGCAAAGCCCAAGGACTGGTCGTCCTGGGGACAGTGGACTGCAGGCCAGGCCATGCTAAATGTGCCTGGGGAGCTCAGGATCCGAGACCCACCATGGCCAACACCTCCTCCCACGGAGCCTGGTCTGCTCTCTGGGGTGCCTTGCCAGCTTCGGGGCACTCGCTATGGGGACACACAAGCTTGCGGTCTTCTGAGGCAACCAGGGCCTCCAGGACTGGCCTGCACTGAAGAGGGGCTCCCCGTGCCCCAGAGAGGGCCTCCAAGGCTGGGGTGCAGTGGGAGGACAGGCACACAGTCCCACCACCTTGGCCCTTTGTGCTTCTCTCCCTGAGTCAAATAGGATGTTTGTTAACTGAAATCATGTTAACATAAACTGGCTCATGGGAGTAATCACTAGGTCTGCAAAAATCCACAAAAGTCTCACCCAGAACCCAGCGAACTCTGTAAACCTCACAGCCGCAGACGGTGTTACAGGGCCAGGGGCGGCAGGGCCCAGACACTGCCCAGGGACGCCCGTGCTCCTTGCACTGGGAAGAGTGGGGGCGCACGCCCCTGGAAGCCCCCATTCTGTCTGGCACCATCATTCACAGATTATCCCCTTTGGTTGGATTTTGCAGAAGTGGGTCCATGACGAGTGGCTTGAGCTGCTGGGGTCCGATCTGCCCTTTGGTTTCCGAGGCCCCATGTCAGGCACGAGCGGGTGTGGCTTCACCCCCCCCCCCCCCCCCCGCAGTCAAGACACATCGCCACCCAGCGGTTCCTGCGAGGTTCCAGCACAAGTCCTGGCCATCTCTTACCTCTCTCCGTGCAGGAGGCAGCACCCATGCTTCCCAGCCGGGTTCAGTGACTGGGGCCCAGGGGTTAGGGCGGGCGTTGTCGGAGGCCCAGCTTTACGGTACGGGGCTGTTGTGAGGAGGACGGCTTCTCCTCAAGTGCCATCTGGGACCTACGGACACGGCTGTCTTGCCCGCAGCTCCTGATGGGGAAGGTGTGCGCCCCCGAAACTCCCGTGACACTGTGTGTGAATCACTTTGCACTAAACTAACTTGAAAAAAGAAGGTAGGTCCCTGCACAGATTTGCGAGCCTCTAGCAGGAGACCCAGGCCGGGTGGGCTCAGGACCCAAGACCCAGGTGCACCGGCACCTGCCACCCTGGCTGGGGAGCCCTTGGAGCACCTGCCCAAGCTCCTGCAGGCTCAGGGGCCAGGAGAAGGGGGCTTTCTGCACTTCTCAGAAGGTGCCGTCTGGACTGGCCACAGTCTATGTGGTGCTGGTCAGCGGGTGGGGGGGTCCCTTTCAGATCCCCCCAGGGAAGAGTCTGGTTTGAAGGAGGACGAGAGGCTATCAGAGTCCCCTCAGGTGATGCGTGACTGACGGGAGATGAAGCCCAGGTCTGTGGCAACAGCCAGGACGCAGTTGGGGTCTGTGCCTCGGGCGCTGAACCAATAGCATGGTCAGTGGGGGCTCCGTGCTGCCATCACCCCCGGCTCCCACACTGTCCCTCCCCACAGCTTTGCCCAGTGTTTTCCACTTGGCTTCTGTCCAACCCCTGGGCCACCCTTGCCTCATCCGCCCCCAGAACCTTTGCTTACATCTGCATGTGCGTGTGCATGTGCAACAGGAGGCGGGGACACCAGCATTTCCGTGGAGTCCCCAGAAACCAGCCTCGGCAGGAACAGCAGTGTGTCCGTCCTCCCCTCTCACCTCCTGGGCTCCTTCCTGGGAGCAGGGCCTGCACGCGGGCTCTCTGGGCAGCGCAGAAGGACAGGCCTGCGTGGTGGCCGGCACGGAGCTGGTGTTTGCAGGGTGGGGGTCAGAGCCACCAGGCAGGGGGAGGAGTGGGGGGCTGGAGCCCGGTCAGGGGACAAGGCGAGGGAGAGTTCTGGCCCGTGGTCATGCTCCCCCCACCTGGAGGGATGGCTGCTTCAGCCCCCCTAGCCCCCCCAGGATCCGGGAGTGAGAGCCAGACAGTAAGATTGGAAGGAAGGAAGGGCTGCCAGACCCGGGGAGGAGCTAGGACATCTCCACGAGGGCACTCTGGGGGAGCGTGCGGGCTGCAGACACGCTGGTGCTGGTGTGCTGGGTGGCGAGTGTAGGGCGAGTGTGGGGCTCCCCTTCTGGAATGCGGGCTCTTGACCCCCTGGCCAACACAGACTTAGTGTTTCCCGATTTATCTTTTGAGGCTCTTTGCTTTCAGTGTCTCAAATTATTTTCTTTTATACTTGTTTCTATAAACTGTGCTTTTTAGAAACTTTTGATTGGAGATTCCATTTTACCTGATGATTCAATTCAGTGACCTTGCACGCAGTAGTGGACGCCTGGGGTCTTTGTCTACAACCTTAGCTTGTGTGACCTGTTGTGGGCTTTCCTCCCAGGTGGCCAGGGCGTGCTCTCGGGCCTGCAGTCCCTGGACTCCTGTCCTGTTCACAGCTGCCTTGCATCTCCCACCGCTGTCCCAGTGCCCTGGCTTCCTTCCAACACCATGAGGCCCGTGAGGCCCATGAGGCCCGTGGGGACGGTGAGACCTGTGAGGCTTGTGAGGCTTGTGAGGCCCGTGAGGCCGGGGCCGCACTTGCCCCTCCCCCATGGTATTGGCCCTGACGTTGTTGTTGGTTATAAATCTGCCCCAGTCATCCTCATACGCACTGCTCTTGACGCTGAAGTCGTCACCTTACCCCACAGACTCAGGCAGGTTCTCTTTCTCCTCACAGGCTTCTTCCTTCCTGCTTATCTCCCCCCAGAAATGTCATCTATTTATTTGCATTCTTTTCTTCCAACTTTTATTTGGAAAAATCGCAAACCCACGGGAACATCTTAACTTCCACCTGGATTTACTCTTGCCATTTTGACGTGTGTCATCTGTCCAGTGTGCACACGCGTGTGCTCCTCTAGATGTGTTTTACTGGCTGAGCCATTTGAGAGTGAGATGCAGATATTATGACACTTGTTGGTTTTTTTTTTTTTTTTAAGATTTTATTTAGCCCGGGTATCTGGCACCGCGGCTGCGCAGCGACACAAGAGCCCCGCTGTCTGGCGAGGCAGTGGCTGCAGCTATGGCAGGGAAAGAGTTGGAACGATGCCAGCGGCAGGCGGATGAGGTAACAGAAATCATGCTCAACAACTTCGACAAGGTCCTGGAGCACGATGGGAAACTGGCCGAGCTGGAGCTGCATTCAGACCAACTGCTGGACATGCGCTCAGCCTTCAGCAAGACAACCAAAAACCTGGCCCAGAAGAAGAGCTGGGAGAATGTCCGTTGCCAGATCTACTTGGGGCTGGTGGTGGGCGTTGGCCTGCTCATCATCCTGATTGTGCTACTGGTCATCTTTCTCCCGTGGAGCAGTGGGGACAGCAGTACTCCACACGCCCAGGACACCGGCGCTGCCTCAGGGCCTGGGGGCTGACCCAGCTGGGCCTTGAGGATAGGCCGAGGGGCCACACTGGCTGGTTCTGGTCTCCAGAGAACCCTGGCGTTTGCTCCCATCTGAGCCACCCAACTGAGCAATGAAGAGCAACTCTGATGTGTGCAATTTTGCATCTCCTATCACACCACAGACTGGCCCTTGAGGGCAGCCTGCTGCACTAGCTGTGCCAGGCCAGCCTTACCTGGAGCTCAGTAAAAGCTGCTGTTTGGTTAAAAAAAAAAAAAAAAGATTTTATTTATTCATGAGAGACACACAGAGAGAGGCAGAGACACAGGCAGAGGGAGAAGCAGGCTCCCCAGAGGGAGCCCAATGTGGGACTCGATCCCAGGACCTTGGGATCACGCCCTGAGCCAAAGGCAGACACTCAACCACTGAGCCACCCAGGCATCCCGTGATGCTTGGAAATACTGTGTATCCTGAGAACAAAGGCGAACATTTATACGACCACAATGAAAATATCACACGTAGGAAATTTAAAATGATACTTTTATTTGTGATCTGGCGGTGTTCAAAGTTTTGCCGTTATGTCCGTAATCTCCTTTGTAGGAATTGCTCTAAATAATTTAAGATATTTTATTTTTTTAATTTTTTTAAAATTTAAGATATTTTAAATATTTAAATGTTTAAATCAAAGATCCCACGAACCATGTTACTGCTCGTGTCTCTACTCCTTCCTTCCTTCCTTCCTTCCTTCCTTCCTTCCTTCCTTCCTTCCTTCCTTCCTTCCTTCCTTCCCTCCCTCCCTCCCTCCTTTCTTTCAGAATAGTCCTTCAGAGTTCGTTTTGCTGCCTTTAGTGGTGGTGACATTTTGGGGGGTCCAGGTGGTGGATGGCTCACAGCAGGTCTCCGCGTCTTTTGTGGGCCCACGGTGACACCCTGACGGCCTGGGAGCCCTGGTGCCTCGACTGCCCCTCTCCCTGACCCTGGCCTTAGGACGCTGAGGCTCGCCCCCCACCCTCCCACTCGTGCCCCCACATGGTCGCCTGCCCTTCCCACGGCGCCCACGTGCACTGCTCCTTCTCCCTGGAGCAGGCACAACTCTGAGGGATGCCTTCGCTACCATGCAGGAGGGGCAGCCGAGGCAAGAGGGGGAGCCGAGACAGGTTCCTCATTTCTCTGCTGCCCGGAGGCCCCGATGGCCCTGGGGAGGCCTCCATGAATGGCTTTCTCCTGCAGGCCGGTGTTCATCTGCAGGGCCGCGTAACAGATCCCACAGGCAGGGCCTTAATTGCGGGAAATCATCCCTCTCGGTGCTGGAGGCGGGGTGGGGGTGGGGGGGCCGTGGTGCAAGTGTCATGGGGCTGGTTTCTCCTGAGGCCTCTCTCCCTGCCCCACGGATGGCCAGTGCTCCCCGCATTCCCACGTGTCCCCACAGGCTCCTCCCTGTGTATGTGCTCATCCACTCCTCCAGCATTTCCTGAGCACCTGCTGTGTACAGGCTGCCCTGCTGGCAGGGGGTCGTGGGGGTTGAGCGATATTGAGCTTGTGACACAGGATGGAATTCTGAGGCCACCCTGGGCAGAGGCGAGGTAGGGGACTACTCTCCGTGTGGACCTCGGTGTGGGTTGGGGCGCTGTCCCTCCCGCCCAGCTCCCCTCAGCTTCCCAACCCATTCCCATCCTCGTGGAACCAACTGGTCTCGCTGCATCTGTGCCAACACTCCTGGTCTCTACCCGTGCGTCTCATCGTGAGTCGCTTCTCCCCTTTGCAGGTTGAGAGGACACCCGGTGAAGGTCCCATCAGGACCCATTCTGAGGCTCTGAGGCAGAAGTTCTACTACTTTAATTTCTTAAGTCATTACATTTTTTTAATTAAATAAGGCAAAATTCACCTCTGTGGATGTGATCTGTCATGGATTTGGTTAGTAGACTTTTGTCATCGATGCAGCCAAGGCCAGCTGGTCCAGGCTGGGCAGGTTATTATAAGTCACTGGGGCTGGCCTGTGAGTTAACACAGCCCAATGTGCCGTATGCTGAGGGGGCTGGGGACACTGTGCCGAGGGCGGCCACCCCCGCTGGAGGCCTGGCTCCTACTGCGCCCTGCTCCGACTGTATGCCAGCTTCTGGCATGCTGGTGGCCACTCGGAGGCGTCCCTACCAGGAATGTGCCCGCTGGCCGTGTGGACATGGCCACACAGGCCTGGAGTGCCACTGTGTGGTTACAGCGTCTGCTGTGGGCTGGCTCACTGCCCGGCAGCGTGCTTCTCTGTCTTTCTAGACTCTATGTCTCCAGTAGATCCACATGGACACACAGTGTTTAATTTTAATAAAGCTCATCTAACACATGGTTATTAGCATATATTTGCAAAGGGCCCCTGCATGACCTTTCCTCCAACGACTCACAGTTCTTGAGGGAAACTGGCAGATTCCCGTCTACTTTTCCACTGTGACAAAGGGCCGTGCCGATCAGGTGACAGGGAAGGATGGGTGGGCTGGGCAGGAGCAAGACCTGGGCGAGCCTGGCACTCCTCCGCCAACAAACACCTGCCCTGCGGCCGGTTCTGCTTCTACTGTTGCTCGGACAAACGGGTGAGACAGGGTGACTGATGAATGGTGGGCATTCCCGCTTGACTTCTGCGGCTCCCTGGTGAGGGAGGGATTCCGACGGGCCCTGCTCCGTGTTGGGTGCCCTGGTTGGTGCCCGCCGGGCGCCAGCGTGGGGAGGTGCAGCCTGTGCTCCACTGGGACTTCCAGGATGCGCCTGCAGTGCACAGCTGTCTGCCTACGTGTGCTTCCTGCACCTTCGCTGCCGTGGTGGACACTGCGTTGTGCCTGGCAGGACTCGGCTCCTCCGCTGCTTTGTCTGGGAGGCGACCTGCCACCCTGGCCTTCCTCCGCCGCTCTTCCTCCGGCTGGATGCGGGGCTCCATGTGCACTGTGGCGCGTGGGCCGCTCCCGAGAGGAGCGCTCGGCGTGGGGACGCCTGGCCCTGCCATTTCCCCGGTGGCCACAGAAACAGGAGGGAAAGCACAGAAGAGCCTGCTGATGGCCAAGGGGCCCGGAAGCCCGTGTTCCTGAGCCGTGGAGGCTCCGGGGGAGGCAGCCCAGGCGCATGCCCAGGGCTTCGGGGTGGAGAGTGCCGCCAGGCTTCCGAGGACGCGGACACAGACGTGTGGCCCGGCGGTGCTGGGCCAGCAGAGAGAATCACAGCAGTGGCAGCTGCCCGTCTACGCCTCCTTGGGGACACTAAGCCCGGGCCAAATGAGTGTGGGGCAGACACAGAGAAATGACATCCGCCCCCACCTCCCATGGCTCCCTTGGGCCTCGAGGACGATGGGGTGACCCCACGCCAGTGCCCATTGGGAAAACCTGCTCCTGAGGGGAGGGCATGTGGTGGCCATGGCTCCAGCAGCTCCCACGCCCAGGGGACGGCAGCAGGGGCAGAAGAGGGGGTATGACCTGGTCTCTCCACCCCTGCTCCCCGGGGGCACCCTGCCCCCCTGGCCGCCTCCAAATCTCTCCAGGTGGTTTTTGACCACGGCCACTTACTTTTTAATCAAAATAATGCAGGGACATAGTTTCACAAAATCATCTCACTTTACAACGAGGCAGGAAACTTTCCTTTCTCCTGCTATTTACTCTGTATTTGTAAATAACAAGCTTATGTTGCCATTCTTTTTTTTTTTTTAATTTATTTATGATAGTCACACAGAGAGAGGGGCAGAGACACAGGCAGAGGGAGAAGCAGGCTCCATGCAGGGAGCCCGACGTGGGACTCGATCCTGGGTCTCCAGGATTGCGCCCTGGGCCAAAGGCAGGTGCCAAACCGCTGCGCCACCCAGGGATCCCTTATGTTGCCATTCTTGAGTTTCCCTTATTGGCTCCTGTTATGAAGCCTTTGCTCTCACTTCCCTCCCTCTCCCTCCGACCCCCCCCCCCCCCGCCCCGGAGCCCACAACCATAGGATTCCTTGAGCTCACAGTATCACACTGTAAATATCACTCAGCGCTCAAGGCGCTTGACACACCGGGATTGTTTCATTCCCTGTATTAAATGTTGTTCTTTCATGGATACAGTGAGTGCTCTCTTTTTAAAAAAACTTCATTTTTTGAGGAAGCCCAGGTGGCTCAGCGGTTGAGTGTCTTCCTTCGGCTCAGGACTATGACCCCAGGGGTCCTGGGACGGAGTCCCCCATCGGGCTCCCCGCATGGAGCCTGCTGTTCCCTCTGCCTGTGTCTCTGCCTCTTTCCCTGTGTCTCTCATGAATAAACAAAGAAAATCACCCACAGCACCCATGGCACCCACTGGATCCATGCTAACCACCTTCTGCGTCTGTTCTGTTCTATTCATATGACTGATCCCTTATAAGAGCCCCCGTGGTGGCTGCAGTGGTTTGGAGCAGTGGAATCGAACACCTGTGTGGATTCACCCTAGGGCATTGAGTGTCCTGGGTTTGGGGGCTCTGGGTGCAGGTGCTAACAGAAAGGAATCCTTGGGGACCACGGCGGGGTCTGGGGTCCTGCAGGCCAATACTTAGGGGAGCTGGATGGCGGCTTCATCTTGGGGACACTGCCCCAGACCCTGATGTGTGTGTCAGGGTTTCCCGGGAGGGATAACAAGGGGGTGTTACCATGGGGGCATCACAGGGAAGGTGTCATGGGGTGCATCACAGTGGGGGGGGGTCATAGTTGGGACGTCACTGAGGGGCTGTCATGTGGAAGGTGTCATAGTGGATCTGGCATTCCCAGGTGTGGTGCGTCCCCCTAAGCAAGAACTGAGATGTACTTGGGATTCACTCCAGGTCACCTGCCCTGCTGTGTGGGTGGGAGTGGGGACAGCTGCTCGAGGGAGCCCCTGGCGATCCATCCTTGGGATGTGTCCTTGTCACACTGAGTCAGATGCAGCGGGGGAGGCACCTTGTAGTGTATAGGTGCACCCTCCCAACACACATACTCCTGGACTATCTTGTTCTGTGGGGTCAATGCGACATTGTCTTATTTATCCAGCGAGGCCAGATTCCGAAGGCAGGTGCTTCGTCCT